AGCTTCTCAGTGCTGTGCTTTAACCCCCTGCGCCACCAGGGAGGGCCCCATTTTTCATTTTTTAAAAAATAGTATAATAGTTTATTTTTACACCATTTTGTGCCTTTTTTCAGCTCAGTTGTCATCCCCGTGGGCTTCCCATCACCAAATCCCCCATGTGCCCAGTGCACTTCCCTCCCTCCACCGTTTTTGATCCCATTCCCCACTCCACCCCCATAAAATGTCATTTTTATTTTTAATAATTCTAAAGGATGACAAATATTTGTAGAATGTATAAAACATTATCTAAATTGTCACTTAACACCCCCCACAGTGGGCATGTTTTCAAATATTACATGATAGATTAATTTTACTAAAGTAGGGAAGATTAAATTGAATTTAAATATTTGTTTTGTTTCAAAGGTATCTTGGAATATAATGCATCAAGGTGTCAATACTGAACCATATGATCCTTTTGAGGCACAACAGGTGAGTCAAAATCATACTTAACTATTCAGAGGTTTTAATTTTTATTAATTTAACTAGATGGGAATGGTATATAGAACTATTTTGAAGTCAACTCCATATAAAACATTGCTGTGGGAAGCTTTAGAATATAATACAAAAGGATATCGTTTTAATTACTAGTTTGGAGTTGGAGGCAAGTTTGGGATTCGAAAAGGTAAGTTTTTTCTTAGCTTATTTATTCCAAAGTAGAATGGCTTAATTGTTCTCACTTGTATAATGAGTCAGTATTAATTTGTAAATAAGAACTTAATAATGGAGAAATAATTATAAGGGCTTCACCATTTTAAGAATGATTTACTTAAAATGTATTAATATCATTTACTTTGGTAATACATCTTAAGAGAAAAGTTATGAAAAGGTTCTGGGTAAAATTCAAGTTCTGTATTGACTAAAAGGCATGGGGCTAGGTGAGCACTCCTTAACATGCTCCTGTCTTTCTTCACAGCCCTCTCCCTTAATGACAAAGCATCACCTTATTGTTTATTATCTATCAGCTGACAAGGCTGGGTAACAAAAAGAAACACAATTGTAAAAGAGGAGGTAAAAGAATCATTATTTATAGAGGCTTAGAGTGTGTACCTGGAAATTCTCAGTCAATTGAAAACCTAGTACCAAAATGTAAGAGAATTCAGAAAGGTGATTGTATACAGTGACTTTTTATGTACAAGCAACAGCCTGTGCAAATTACATTAGAAGAGAAGAGTGTTCTCAGTAGCAGAAAAGGGTAAGAAATAATTAAATCTTGAGAAGAAAATTTTAAATGGCACAGAGAGATGTACGGAAGATTTAAGTAAGTGAAAAAGTGCTCTCTGTATTTGAATAGGAAGAACTATTGTTAAAGAAACTAATTTTCCTTAGAGCTTCTCAGTTGACATAATCCCAGTCCAACACAAATTGAATTTGTTAGTTGTCTGTTGTTGTGTAACAAATTATCTCAAAACTCAGTGGCTTAAAGCAATAACAAATGTTTGTTTTCTCACAGCTTCTGTGAGTCAGAAATGAAAGCTAAGTGTAGTTGGATGGTTCTGGAGAGTCCTTAGGAGGTGCAGGACTCCTGCTCAATCTTCTGCGGGAGTCTTCTCTGACCCTGCAGAGGGCTTGGAGGCTCTGCTTCCCAGGTGCCCACTCAGCCTGCTCAGCAAGCGGGTACTAGCTCTGGGCAGGAGACTTGAGTTCCTTGCCTGTGGATTCCACATAGAACTGCTTGTGTGTTGTCATTAGGCTGGACTTCTCAGTGTGGGCAATCCCAAAAGAGGTAGCGGCGGTTTTTAGAACCTACTTTAGGAAGTCACTCTCCATCACTTGTCTGCTTGGTCGCACAGACCAGCCCACCAGTCCAAATGTATCATAGAAGAGGACTATACCAAGAGCATGAATACCAGGAGGCAAGGAGCTTGGGGCTCACCTTGGTGAGAAGCTACTGCACACAGTTTATTTGAAACTGGACAAACTGATTCTAAACTTAATACCAAAAAGCAAAACAAAACAAAACACAAGCATCAAGCATGCTATGGAAAAGAAACCATAAGAAAGAAAATTAAACAACTAGATATCAAAACATAATAAAAATCTTATGTTACACATAACTGCATCCTTAGAATAAGAGTCCAATGGAAGAGTATCAAGATACAAGGTATAATAAAGATGGTAATTACTGTGAGCAAAAGTATATTCTTAAATACATGGTGTTGGGAGAAATGAATTGCCATTTACTGGAGGAAAAATTAGTGTTTTCCCATCAGGTTAATAAACAGCATGGAAAAAATGTGTGTTTATATGCCTGTACATACATTTGTGACGTGTGCATACCTATGCATAGCATATATAAGTGTATCAACAAACATACACAGAAAACAAACTAGAATACTGTGACAAAACTATACACGGTGACAAACTAGAAAAATCTGCAGCACAGGACAAGTAACTATTGACAATTTTTAATCAATTTCTGTTAATCAGGAAAAAATTCATAACATAAAAATGAGAACGAATGTGAATAGACAGTGCACAATAAAAGACAGACATAAAGCTGATTTTAAACATGTAAGAGGATGCACAATTACATTTGTTACAAGAAAAAGTTATTTATAAGTTATCTAAAGAATATAAAAATGTAGGGTTGTGGGAGCTGCAGTGGCCAACCTGAGGGGAGAAATCAGGCTTGTACTGTCAGAAAATTAGCAGGGATGAAACAGTGGCACTTTATTTATTTATTAAAATACATAAGTTTGAGGCTCTCCCTCGTGGTGCAGCAGATTAAAGCACAGCACTAAGAAGTTAAAGCCACTTCAGCGTGAGTTCGATCCCTGGCTCTGCAGGTGACCCACAGGGTGAGCAGACCTCTCCTGACCCGCCTGTTGCTCCCCTCAGCGGTGTACTTCAATGATCTGCCTGTTCTGCTCCCAACTCTGTCTCTGGTGAATTCTCTCACTGCCCCTACACTTCTGGCCTGTACTCCATTTCTGTGTGCATAAATAAATAAATCTTCTAAAAAAAATGTAAATTTCTAGGGAAGGCAATTTGGAATTTATTTATAAGTAAATTGATTTATTTGGGACACTCAGTGTCTAGAGATATTTGATATATTTATTTCGTCTAGGCAATTTGGAATTTATTTATAAATAAATTGATTTATTTGGGACACTCAGTGTCTAGAGATATTTGATATATTTATTTCGTCTATATTTGTATCTACAGAAAAGTTAACTACAGTCTGAACACCCAACAATGTAGAACTATTTCAATTAAGGCACATGCATGTGATGAAATGTAATAATACTATCATTTAAAAATGAACTCTGCTGTTACTGGCATGGAATGATTTTTAAGATCAGATGTGTGATTAAATAGGAAAAAATCAGAGTATTGTGTTGCCTTCTAATATCTGTACAAGTAGCTATAGTTTAGCCAATTATAAAAATTCAGCCCTTATTTTCTTTTAATGACCAATACAGAAATTCGTAAAAAAGAAATTTGAAGGCATCTATATTCCTATCACCCATGTTACTGTGTTGATGTACAGTCTTGCTGGCCTTATTGTAAAGCTTAAGGAAAGAAGTGCTTTTTAAAAGATGGGATTTACTGTGTATGCTTTATTTGAAATTTTCAGTTTTAATCTTCATGTTGGTAAATAGAGTTTTTAGCTTCAATTCTGATGTATACTTAAAATTCCATTTTATGATATATGACAGAGTATTTGACCAGTTTGTCTCTTCGAGCATTTAGATGGTGTCAGCTTTTCATGCCTAAGAGCTGGGCTGAACTTTGACCTAAATATGCATATACAGCGTAGGAGGGCCTGTGTTCAGTTCTTATCCCATGCTTGGCTTTAAATTAGGTATGTCTTATTGTTTAAGGAGCTGGTATTTTGGGCTGTTAAATATTTTCATAAGGATATGGAAAATTCACACACACTTTCTTAAATCAGCTTCAGAACCCCGATGCTATTGAGGTAGATTGTGGCCCCCCCCCCCCCATGATACCTGCATTCTTCCTAGCACTATTGCTTTCTTCTGGGACCTTCAAAAATTGCCTAAATTCTCTAAAGCTTGGTTTCCTGGTCTATAAGATATGAAAATACTGGTGGTGAGGTTTAAACATGGTAACTGAACTTTACTGCCTGTTTTGGGTAGTGACTTGTGGCATGTAAATTGATAATACCAAGTAGCTATTTATTGTGGTCCTTTTGCTGAATTGAGAATGTAAATAGAGGTAGCTAATATCGTAAACTTTAAGTTGTTCTCGTGAGTCACAGGAAGGGTGACCACTTAATTTATCTAAACCCAGTCTCAGTTCATAGCGCTAATGCCGCAGTCTAGACAGACAAAAACTGGGACTCTCCAAGGTAAACTGACATTGTGGTTGCCTTGATTGTAGTCAGAATTCACTGATGCTTCACAGAACTTTAAAATCTTGGTTCTGTTGCTTTTTTTTTTCTTTAAAGATTTATTTATTTATGCGTACAGAACTGGGGTACAGGCCAGAGGTGCAGGGGCAGTGAGAGGATTCACCAGAGATAGAGTGGGGAACAGAACAGGCTGACTGACAAAGTACACTGCTGAGGGGAGCAGTGGGCAGGTCAGGAGAGGTCTGCCGCGCCATGTGGGTCACCTCCAGAGCTGGGGATCGAACCTGGCACTGAAGAAGCTGCAACTCGCTTGCAGTGCTGCGTCCTTACCTGTTGCATCACTAGGGAGGGCCCGTTTCCATGTCTTTTTGTACCTGGAACATGCTGAGGTGCAGGGAGAGGCAGAGGATATGGGGAAGGTGCACTAAGTGGTGCCTCGCAGGTGCACTTCTAAAGCCTAGCTGCCAGCTGCATCTGGGGAGAGTGCCACCTGCCGTGAGGAAGGCTCCTGGAGCACATGAGCGCTCTGCAGGCATGAGTGTTATTGCTGATAGTATTGTGGAAGGTAAAACAACATAATTATATTGTTTGCCAACATTTCACATTACGGTATGGCTTCTGTTTTTTTAAAACTGGTCCAAGAGACAGTTGCCTAATTGAACAGAGTTTATTGATAATATTTTAACTTGTCTTGAAATAATTGGCAATCATCCATTTGAAATACTTAATGTCGGATCAAAGTGAATATATTCTCTTTGTATTTAAACTATGTATAACGTGGAGCTATTAAAGCCTAATAATTCTTGGTATTTGTTGTGGAGAATGCCATTCACATCAAACTGTTGATTTAATACTGAACCCTCTAAAAATTCAGGGCTAATTATAGTACAGATTGGAAAGTTTTGTTATGAATTCCAGTAATGTGAATAATTATATTTTATAAAGAGCTGCCTTTGCTGAAAGTGTTTAGGGATTTTAAGTCTTGATTTATTCATGACATCCCTTGTCATAGGCTGCCTGTGACTTCCCTTTTTTCCTACTTATTATCTTCCTTTGTTTATTTAGAAACAGTTCAGAACTAGGTCAGAAATTATTAATAGATAATTTTGTAATTTACTTTTAGGGGGGTATTTCACAGATTGAAAAGGAGTACCAGGTTTTGCAAGAGCAGTTAAAGGAAGCATGTGAAAATTATGAACAGAGAAAACTCAAGGGCGCAGAAGAAATCAGGGACCTGGAAGAAAAGTTGGCAAGGAACCTAGAAGAAAACAAGGTAATCCCATCTGAAGCCACTCTTCCACAGCCTGCAGCATGACCAGGAGAACTGTGGCCACTGAGTTCCCTGTGCTGCTGCTGTGTTGTGGGCACTATCCTCTTCATTGCCTATTCAGATTCCTCGGTGATACCGGTTTTTGTAGCATTTTAGAGCTTCTTCAGTTGCCAGTAAGTAAAGGGCTGTAAATCTGGGTTTTCATTTACCTCTGAGTTTTCTTGATTAACTAAAACCAATTTCTGGTGTCTGCAATTCTGAGTTAAATTCTTGTTCTTAAGGGAGAGTGTAGCATTAGGGTTGAGTGTATAAGCCCTAGAGACCAGTGATTGACCAGATCCAGGATTAGTTTTTTATGTGTTTTAATCCTAGGCAAGTCATTTAATTTCTCTGTGCTTTAGTTTCTTACCTGGAAAGTTTGGGTTAATGATAGATCCCCTCTCATGGGTTAGATTGATACTTACAAAGTACCTAAAATTGTCCAGTGCATAACAGGGCTACTGTTGCTGTCATCACCATCATCATCTTGCCCCTAAGAAGCATCAGAAAAACCCACGAAGCAAGCACAATGGAACTGTAGTCACCTAGAATGTCTTGTTTGAAACTACTGATCTTTAATTGCATTAGCTAAAATTGATCATCAGTTATTATAACTGCAATTGGATTAATTAATGGCAAGCCTAGGTTGAATGAGTAGGAAAGTGGAATTTTGAGAAAATTGAGGTGCATTTCTTTTTAACAACTAAGTTACAGAGCTAGCAAAGGGAGGTAAGTACATTTAAGAAAGAATTTGTTCCAAAAGTCTGGGATTAATATCTAGGGCCACACATTAAATAGAGGAAAACTAACTTAGTGGGACCTTAATTAAGAAACAAATTTATTGAGATTTAATTATACCCAAAAGAAAAGGGTCAATATGTTCTATCATTCCTTAGTTCCTGTTTGTACTTGGGATGGTATGGGAGATTTGATGGTTGAGAAGAATTAGAAGAAACCCTACATCACTGGACTGTGCTATACTGTGAAGGGCATTGCTTTATTTATTTATTGCTGGTTTGTGGTTGAGAGTACCATTCTGTCATTGAGCAAATATTTATTCAGAGCTCCCTTGAGTGCCAGGCTCTGTAGTAGTCTTTTGAGACTTTTCTGCAGCATCCTGTTTGAGGCCCTTAGAAACCCCTTCTCTCTGCTTTTACCACCTAGATGTCTTTCTGCAGTTGTTCATTTTGTGGCTAACAAGTTCTAGTTAATTGTGCTTTATTACTCTGTGAGAAAGTTTGAATGCTGCTTTTATACAATGTTTGTGACCTCTTGTGCCATTCATTTATTACTGTCAATTTCTGTTTTTTTATATTTGCCATTCTTTTTATTTTCTATCCCTACAAAATCTACTTTTCATTTATTTATTTATTTTTAGTTGAGGTAACATTGTTTTACAACATTGTGTATAGGTGCATACTAATGCAGCCTAAAGACTACAGGTATGGACTCATTACTAAAGCGGGGTATCCCTCCACGGTGGCCATTGGGCCGCCCCTGCTGTCTCTCCCTCCAGCCCCTCTCAGTCTGGTAGCCTTGGGTCGGAGTCAGAACCCAACGGATTGTTTTGGTTTGGTGTTGTCTTTCTGTTTCTTTTTATTTCCCTTAGCATAATCCCCTCATTTTCGCACATATTGTCACAGTGGCAATATTTCATCTTTTATCTTGTAGCTGAGTAGTATTTATTTTGTCTTCATAAATTGTATATATTTAAATACATGAAGTGCCTTAAAATACATGTACATTATTGCCAGCACCCCAAATATTTACTTTGGAACAAAGTTGCAGTTTAAAAAAGGAGCTATGGGTGGGGAATGGGATCAAAAACAGTGGGAGGAGGGAAGTGCGCTGGACTGTGGTGATGGCACATGGGTGACTTGGTGATGGGAAACTCACAGGGATGACAATTGAGATGAAAAAAATGTACAAAATGATGTAAAAATAAATTATTTAAAGAAAAAGGAGCTATGGAAACCAGCTTTGAGAAAAAGACCTTCAGAAAAGTCTGGTGGTTATAGAAATAGAATCAATAACGGCTCAGAGGCTGCTGCTGTTAGAGAGCCTGCTCGTTCTCCTGCTCTGATGTTGAAAGGCTCCGGCCATCCTGCGCAGTGCTGTCTGATGCCACCTCGCGGCGGCCCTCTGGTAGTTAGGCGCGCGTACAGCCAGCCGGCCGTCTCGCGAAGCCTTCTACTCGTGTTTATAATACTTTCTTCCTTTTGATATTTGAACTTGGTTAGCTACTTGTTGTCAAGTAGGTCCTTAAACTCCAGCATAGTCTTGTGTTTGTACATTACCTGCTGGCTAAAGGGCCGAGTCTGAGGTGAAATCAGTGGCTCGAAATAGAAGCACAGTGTGGGTGAGAAACAAAGCTGTCTTTACTGCCAGCAGCAAGGCAGGCATGTGGACCCTGGCCATGGTGCCAGAAGTCCCTGGGGAGTGCAGGATGCTCTGAGGTACTGAGGGGCATGGCGGGCACGCAGTCACAGCAAGGACTCTGCACTTGGTCTGCAAGGAAAATGCAACAGAACGCCTCTGTGCCAGAGGGAAGACACTGACGTGGCCCTGAGCTGCCGCAGAGCATCTCAGGGCTGCCTGTGCGACAGGATTGGGCCGTCTTTGAGGACCTGGACTTAGCAAATCTGCCTCCCAGGAAAGTGGGAGACCTTGGTTTCTAAGACTGCAGAGGAAGTAAGGTCCCTCCTCTGAGTTGCTGTGTCTCTAGACCAGCGGGGCTGTTACCTCCTACAGAGCTAGGGTAGTTGACTGCCGGAGCATTGTCTTCCCTGAGGGAGGGGCCTCTCGTGTCCCTAGCTAGACTTGTCCTCAGTGCCCTCACCACATTCTGAGCCAGCTACAGGAAACTGGGTAGGAGGTGGGAAATGAAAGGTTCCCTAAAGCAGAGTGAAAAGTTGAGATTTCACTAAGTGGTTGTTGACAATGTAGAATTCAGACTTGCTTCAAGCTCTGTCTGCTTTATTCTCTGATACACAATGACCATTAGAAATACTAATCCAGAGAATGTTTTATTTACATACGCTAGGGTTAAACCTGCTGCAGTGCTATTGCCAACACTGAGAGAATGAATTTGAAAGTTCACGTAAAACTTGTAGAGAATCTGTAGATTTAGAAGTTTCCAAAAGCCACACCTGCATGAGAAAGCAGACAGGTGAAGTGTGGTGGTGCACCCTAGCTGTCCAGTGGAGGCAGCTGCCTCTGCCTCCAGATGGAGCTTTTCCTTTCTCTTTGTCACACTGTCCTCTGGCAGGTGGCTCAACCCAGGCCAGAGGCGTTACATTCCTATTTTAAAAAACAAACAAAAACGATTGAACTTGGCATAGAAAGCCCAAGTGCAGACAGCCTCTAGACCAGATATTCATCTAGCTGAAGAGCGAGTGTGAATACTCCCTGCGTGTGGACGGGGTTCTTAGAAATTCAGACTGTAACTGTGCTAGCATTTGAAGGGAAGGGAAGCCCTTTTGAAGTGTTCTCTTGGGAGCTGTGCCACATCTTCCCTGCACCACGTGTCTCTACTCCCAGAACTCAAGTGAAGAACCTTCCTTCTGTAGTCAGAGGGATCCTCATGGTCTGAAACGTGCTCTCTTAACATTTTAAATCTCATTTTATTTAGATTCCCACTTTGATCACGAACTTCTTGGAAGAGAAGTATGGGACATTTAACTGATATTTCTAACATTGCTCATTATGGGAAGTATATTCCAGGCCACAGCTAACCAGCTTATAAGGGGACTTTGGTCATAGTCACCCTACTACTGTTCTGGGAATATATTGAGAAGGGCTGTTTTGGGCTAGATGACTAGACACATTGATTAGATGGCGTACCAACCTGTTAGAATAGAAGTACCTACAATGTGCAGAGTAAGACACAGCCCTTTCTAAATGACTAGGTTGAAAGACAGTTTTTATTTCTTTGAATTGTAATCTTTGCCAGACACGTGAATTTCTGTTCTGTTTCCATCAAAATGATTACAGGTCAAGATTATTGAGTTCTTATATAAACTGTTGTTTATAGGCTTGTTTAAAACACTCCTGTCTAGGCTTCTTCCTGCCTCCTGCCTTCCGTAGTCTCCTTTTTTCATTAGTAGGAGAAACTCTGTCAGCTTCTTCTCTACTTTTTATCTCCAAGTACACATGTGTTCTTATTCTGTTCCAGAATTTCCCTTATTTTTATCACCCCATTGTCACCACCAGTCTCGTCGTCTCTTACAGGGGCGTTGCAGTGAGATTTTGAGAGATTATCTCTCCCTATAATACAGTTTTTAACATGAGGATTATAATCCTTACGGGGCTATGAAATCAGTTTAATGATGGTAACAGAAATTATTTTTAATAAGTGAATAGAATAGAAATTTCAGAAAGTAAAGTCATGTTTTTCCAGTCCTATGTATGTTCATACCTATGCACAGACATGTCTCCTCAATGCTGTGCTGCAGGTCATTATTAGAATTTGTTATTAGTATGTTCCTGTGGCTCAGTCAGGATAATGTGAGGGCTGCTGTTCTGGCCTGGGCTTTCCTGTTGCCCTCACCACCCGATCCAGCTCTGTGTGCTGCAGAGTTACTTTTCCGACATTGTCTCCATGCTCAAGCGCCTTCACTTCTCCCTGTTTGCAGATGAAGTTTTCACTCCAGCATGGCTTGCAGGCTGTTGGTTCATCCTGCCCCACCTCCCACATGCCCGCCTCGTGCTACTGCGGCCTTGTAGCACCTCCTGTGCTCGTCTAGACAAGCCCTGACTGTTACATGCTCTCCTCTCCCGGCCCAAGAGCCCATAACCCACGTGCTCAGCTTGTGTTTGAGACCAAGATTGGATGGCGCTGATTTTGAAAAGCCCTCCCCGCTGCCAGGCAGTGTCGTGCCTCTGTCTGTGGGCTGCTGTCTGCCCCGCTGGCCTGCCCAGGCGAGAGCAGGGAGGGCTGAGCGCATGTTGGGTATGACTTTGCACCCCAGGCTTAGGGGGCACCTCAGCCAGCTCCCCACTCTCTGTTTTGCTGCATGGTAGCTTTTGAGATTTCTGTTACGCCACGGGTCTAGTCATTCTGGGTTCCTTTTAATATTCCCACTTTAAAAAATATTTTTAGATTTCAAAGACGGAATTAAATTGGTTCTCTCAAGATTTGGAAAAGGAAATTAAAAAATGGCAACAGGAGAAAAAAGAAATCCAAGAAAAACTGAAGTCTCTGAAGAAGAAAATGAAAAAGGTTTTAAATGCCAGTGAAATGTAAGTAACAAAGGAAAGGATTTTTTTTTTTAATTGGGGATTTTTGAGGAGTTAGTTGAATAACTTTTGATATCTAATTTTAAATTATGTCAAATAAGGTGAATATTTAGATGCTGTCTTCATCTACTTAAAGAGCATCTGTGGGAAATTGCTCCCCTATAATGTTTTCTAAACATACTGTGTTTTCAGATAAATTGCAAGTGGGTCTGTGGCTCCCTCCCTCTGGTCTAAGCACCGCCCCTTCCTGTGGGCCCCTTGACCCTCCTGTCTGTAAAATAAGGGGACCTTATTTTACAACCTCTGAGCCGAGGTTGTTTCTGGTACTAAGACTGTGGTGATCATTTTATTCATAATTCTATCCTGAATCTGTAACTTGTTAAAATTTGATCTTGTAGTATTGAGGATTTTGGTAATACATACAATAATGCAATTGTCAGATGGGCCTTGCTTGTTCTAAAATGCTCTGTAATCCCCTCCTAACCTCTCTCTCCCTAGTGGCTTATCACATGAGTCCTGAACTTCATTGTTACCTGTCAACGTGTAACGAAATTCCCAAAACTCAGTGGCTTACTTTGACAACCATTTTATTTGATCACGATCCTGCGGGCTGGGCTGGGCTGGGCTGAGTTCAGCTGGGCATTTCTGGTTTGTGCCGGTGGTTTGTGTGACAGCATTCAGTAAGAACTGACTGGGCTGCTAGGGTATGTGGCTTCTTTCCCACTGTGTAGTGTCAGGGTGTCTCCTTCTCCATCTGGTGTCTGCATGTGACACCTGGTAGCCTTTCCACGTGGTTTCTAGTGTGCCAACTGGGTTTCTGATGTGGTGGCTAAGGTTTGAGAGCACAGAGGACTCCTCCAAAGATTCAGGTGTGGAACTGCCAGAGCATCACTTCCGCCACAGGCTGTTGTCTAAGGGAAGCTACAGGCCTTGTCCAGATTTAAAGGCTCCAGTGAGGGGAGGCTTTCAGGGCATCTGTGTTATTTCCATTCCCCATACCCTGCTGCGGCTGGACAGCTTTCATTATTGAGACCTGCCAGCGTTAGTTTGGGTAGCTGTGGGCCTCCCTGCTGGTGCAGTGAGTTGAAGCGCAGCACCATGGAGCTGTCCATAGCCACTGCAGCACGAGTTCAGTCTCCGGCCAGGGAGTGGCCCACCTGGTGCAGCAGACCTCTCCTGTGTCCCCTCTGCTCCCCTCAGCAGTGCATTTCATTAGATCTGCCTGTTCTACTCCCTATTCTGTTTCTGGTGAGTCCTCTCACTGTCCCATACCTCTGGCCTAAACCCCAATTCTTGTGTGTGTAAATAAATAAAAGGAAAAAAATCCTCTTTAAAATCTTGAAAATTGGCCCTCCCTGGTGGCGCAGCGGGGGAAAGCACAGCACTAAGAAGCTAAAGCTGCTTCCGCATGAGTTT